GACCCCGTCCAAAGGGCGAATGATCTGATGAACTGAATCCCCGTCCCCAAGGGATTGAGGTTTTCACACCGCCCTGCTACCTTGCGGGTTAGGCTTTAGCTATCTGAAATCTCCGGTTGTGAATTTCTCAAGGAAATGCAGCTTCCTTGACCTGGGCAACTTGGAAGTATTCGGCTCACATGCAAATCATGGATTATCCTCTTTTAAAAAGAATATTGTACCATAATTAGTTTGGCACAGTCTGGTCTCAGACGTGTGTGAAATACAAGACAACCCGATAATCATCCTTCAGTAAAGGGAAGACAACGCATTCACACCTATAATTTGGGAAATCTGGAAGTTCGACGCACTTCCCACATATACTGATCAATATTGATCAAAACGCTTTGCATAGGTGCATGTTTCATCCAAAATTCTTTAACGATTAATTAAATTCATAAGAATTGTTCTCCTTATCATTCCTCTCAGCTCCTGCCGTCCAGCGATGTCATCCGGCTCATTACCATGCTAAACTAAGCGGACCTTACGAGGTTCTCCACCCCAAGTCCCGGGGATGGGTTATCACCTGTCATCACTAAACAGTTCTTTATGACTGAGATTCCTGCGTGCCGTTCATCACACAAAACTGTGTAATAAAAAAGACTAGACCTTGGTCATTCTTCCCTCTGCTGAATAGCTTTTGCAACCACTTAACATTACAGTTGCTAGCAATAATTGAGAATACACGTTTCTTCTCGTCTCTAAGACCTGGGTATCATCTCTCATATGGAGCGTTACGTTGATTGAACAACTAAACCGAGTTTTAATTCACGATTCAAATTACAACTACTTGTGAGTAGTGGTTCGGGGGAAGTCACTCACAATTCGACTAAACATCATTCAGGTTTGATGTCCACGCAAGATCCTCAGTTCATACAGTTACCGTAAACTCGAGAAGCATCAGACTAGACGTTCGCCTTCATCAGAACTCATCAACGTTACGAAAATCGCTCCAGGAGTTGAACCTCGAATACCTCATTTCCGATTACCAAAACAGCATTGACGGACGAGTTTAACTCGGTGATTCTGATTAACTCCCGTGTGAAATGAATATGATCGGTAGTCTGAACTCAACAACCTTGTAAACAGGTGCAGAATTCACCCAGCGCTTTCCATTATCGGGTTCTCATACGAACATCGTGATGTAGGAAGATGGAGTACCTATCCAAAACTCGCGTGCTACTTGATCAAGTTCATTCTCATTGTGTGAGATTCAAGTAGACAATCAGGAAAGCCTATCGCTGCAGTGCTGTTTGAGACGATTTGATTTAATTCAGTTATATCATTGACCGAACATTTTTATCGTACGTGAAGTTAGTATCTTCACGGACAAGATGGATGAAAGTATGAATGCATCCAATAAATAGCGATTCTTTCAGTCCCAATGCTATGATCCAAAATCCCAATCGCCTATCAGAAAAAACATGGTCAAATATTACTACTTTGAATATGTCCCTATAAAACAGGTCTCCGGAATAAACGGCCTGGATGTGATCAGGAGTAAATTTTGCTTATGCAAACAGTCGACAAGTAGTAACAAGGTTTCGTTCTCCAGCAACGAAAACTGACAGGCTTAATAACAAACAATTGGAATGGGGAATAAGCCATGGTGCAGTGAGAGGTACGCTTAGGCCGGAAAAGCTCAACTTAGACGAATGGGCATTATTACCGCTAGTAGTAACACAAGCCTGG